GTCTTCTGCAAGCAATTTTCTGGATCACCCCAACAGTATCCCAACTAAGACTGACCGAAATTCAGTCAATAAGATGAACAGTGGGATAATTTAGAGTCTCACAAGATAAATAACTGGGAAAACACTGTTTTGGTCGAAGCTTAACTAATTAATTTTTTACATGTAATTATCACATTTAGCCTATACTCAGGACGGGAAGTCCAAAATCTAAACATTCAGTGCAACGTTTACACAGAAATTAGTTCTTAGTTCAAAACTGAACGAGGTCTTAAAGTACTGAGTTTGGCTTCTTGTCATTTCTTGATTCCAAACTAAAGTGCTAAACAGTTTTATAATACTCTCTAGTTTTTATCGGTTCTGCCAACTGTGATATCAGTTGTTAATTGTGAAAAATTATATTCGAAATAATCTTAGCCGTTGGAATTCAAATGGTTCCAACGTTTCACCTTGCAAACTGGTCCGAACGTTTTCAGGGCGATGATCAAAATCAATGATTATCAAAGAGTATATAAAGTTTAGTAATAAAGATCACACTAATGGTGCTTGTCCAACCATTTTTTTGCTTTCTGTATAGTTAGATCATGCGACAATTTGATGTGCAATAGTTCATCATGTGAAGATCCATTAGCGTGTGTGTATGTATCAATCTATCGTTGTTAAAAATAGTACAAAAGTGAAAACTCCGTCTACGACCAAATTAATCGTTTTAGTTTTATCAGAAAAACTAACAGTACATATGAGTAAAATAATCTAGTTATGTGATTAAATGAAATATAACCGGAAATAAATCCACGTTGACTAAATAACCTTTAATTTTGTTAAGAATACGCTTTGTTATGGTTTAGACTGGATGGATATTAAAACCCATGCATTTAATTGTTGATTAACAGTTACCATGGTGTAATTCCGTCTGTAGCACTTCTAGGGTTACTGTAGGTCCCAAGTCTGGGTAAAGGAAGAGGGTTGCGAATGGGGTCAGCGACCCCATCCCGTAGAAAACATCCTTGCTAAAAAAACACCAATCAGAATAAACAAACTAGATTATTTAAATTCTGACCTCCGAGTTGAAGGAAGAATTATGGTGAAAGTCGAAATTCTTCGGAAGTTACGGAGCAAACGCCACTTCTAACAACAACAGCAACAATCTTCATAGGTACAAGGAATGTTCGAACAATATGGGAAACTGGGAGGACTAATCAAATAACCACGGAAATGAGATGATACAAGTTAGTTGTTCTCGGATTCGGTGAAACCCATTGGACCCAATCTGGTCAAGAAAGTTTAGATTTGGGAGAGATGCTGTAGTACTCTGGTCACGAAGAAGAAAATGCTCCGCGCACTCGGGGAGTTTCTCTGATGCTGTTTGAAGTGGCACATAATGCACTTATAGCGTGGGAATCTCATGAACACAGGCTCCTCAAAACAAGGAGAAAAGGAATCGACGAATGTTACCCCGTGTTATGCACCCACCAATGATAGCAACGACGACGATAAAGATCAGTTTTAAAAGAAACTGCAACTGATCATAGAGAAGTGCCCAAAAAGGGATCTGATTATCCTGATGGGAGACCTAAACGCCAAAGTCGGAATGAACAACACCGATATGAAAATATCATGGGACGACATAGACTGGGAGAAAGAAACGAGAATGGGGAGGGATTTGCAAATTTATATGCATTCAATAAAATGGTTATAGGTGGCACAATATTCCGTCACAAACGCATGCACAAAGCTACATGGGTACCACCAGATCACTACAGGGAATCAGATCGATCATATTTGCATCACTAAAAAATCCAGAAGAACAATTAAAGGCGTGAGAACCAGGTGAGTAGCTGACATATCCTGGTGGTTGCCAAGATGAAATTGCCGCTAAATTAGCAAAAGACAGCTGGGGAGACAACATTACAAAGGTTTAATACAGCCTTCCTTAAACATATTGACAAACTCAACAAATTCAAGATAACTCTCAACAACAGGTTTCAAGCCTTACAAGATCCACTCAAAGAAGAGGAAACTACTATGAAGGACAGTTAGAAGGGGATCAGAAAAGCACTGACTTCAACGTAACAGGAGGTTCCGGGTCGCAAGATGCATCGTCGTAAGGAATGAATCTCTGTAGAAACCCTGGTCAAGTTTCAAGAAAGAAAGAACAAGAAGAAAACAGTTAACAAAAGCTGAACAAGAGCAGAGAAAGTTAAGACAAAAGCTGAATACACAGAGGCAAACAAGCAAATGATGAAGAGCATTGGAACTGACGAGTAGAAATACGTAGAAGAGCTAGAAACAGCAGCGGAAAAAGCTGCAAGGGAAGGAAATATAAAACGACTATATGACAACGAAGGACATAATAGAGAGGCCGGTCATGACAGAGGAGGCAAGCCAATCACTGAGGTTCAAGAACAGAGGAACAGATGGGTAGAACCTTTTGAAAAACTCTAGTGGACCAGCCACACTGTACCCACCGGACATCGAAGCAGCACCTACAGGCCTTCCTATAGCTGTCGCTCAGGATGTCCATCAGACAAATCAAGACTGGGAAAGCGGCAGGACCTGACAATATCCCAGTCGAAGCACTAAAGTCAGACATAGAAGTAACTTCAAACATGCTCCACATGAGTTTCAGGAAGATTTGGAAGGAAATACAAGTGCCGACGGACTGGAAAAAAGGACACCTCATCAAGATACCAAATAAAGATCTGAGCAAGTGTGAGAACCACAGAGGCACCACACTACTGTTAGTACCGGAAAAAGTTCTCAAAAAGGCGTTACTGAACCAGATGAAAGATTTAGTAGACACCCAGCTTCGAGATCGACATGCCGGATCCCGTGAGGATAGGTGGTGCAAAGATCAAATCGTGACACTACGGACCATCGTTGAACAATAGATTGAATGGAATTTGTCACCACACATCAACTTCCTGGACTATGAGAAAGCATTTGATAGTGTGGACAGGAGGACTTTATGGAAACTTCTTCGACACTATGGTGTATCTGAAAAAGTCGTCAACATCATCCAGAATTGATACGATGGACTATACTGAGAAGTCGTGCATGAAGGACAGCTGACAGACTCATTCCAAATGAAAGCCGGAGTCAAACAAGGCTGCTTACTCGTTCTCATTTTTCTAGTGGTTTATTAAATTATGATGACGTCCACATCTAAGGGGAAGCACGGAATACAATGGACAACGTGAATGCAACTAGACGATTTGGGCTTTGCAGATGACCTCATCTTTTTATCCAATACACAAGAACAAATGCAGGTGAAGACAGTCAGTGTGGCAGCAGCCTCTACATCAGTAGGCCTCAACACACATAAGGGAAAAAGCAAGATCCTCAAATACAACATGGAGAACACCAATCCAATCACACTCGATGGAGAAGCTCTGGAAGAGGTGAAAACTTTCACGCACCTTGACATCATCATTGATGAACAAGGGTAATCTGATGCAGACGTAAAGGCAAGGATTGGCAAATCAAGAGCATCATTCACACAGTTGAAGAACATATGGAACTCAAAACAACTTTCAACCAATATTGAAGTCAGAATCTTCAATACGAACGTCAAGACAGCTCTACTGTACAAAGCTGAAACGTAGAGAACTACTACAACCATCATAAAAAACGTACATGTATTTCTAAACAGTTGTCTACGCAAGGTACTCAATGTCTGTTTACCGGGTACCATCAACAACGGCCTACTGTGTAACAGGACAAGCCAGCTTCCAACTGAGGAGGAAATTAGGAAAAGACGTTGGAATTGAATGGGACGCACATCAAACTGCGCCACGAGGCAAGCACTAACTTGGAATCCTGAAGAGAAAAGGAAAGGAGGAAAACCAACGAACACACTGCATCGAGAATTGGAAGCAGACATCAAAAGGATGAATCGCAACTGGATATATATATTATCAAGTTATTTAATTTTAAGCTTGAATTAATAGCACCAAAACAATTTTTTCATCATAAGCGCTCATAGTAGATCTATAGAGTATGATTGTGAACTAGCTGATACCGAATGCTGTTACGAGCGTGTGTGCGTTTATCACTTACAGGTTACCCACACCGTGGGAGGATATTTTTCAGGTACTTGTTGATCTGAAATCGTGATCGCATTGCCAAAGAGATAACTTCTTGAAAGAGTTCCCATGGTTTTTTTGTGGTTATTTTTAGCTGTACTAATTGGCCACCAGCAACTGAAATCCGTGTGGTAAGGTGTGCTTTTTTTAGAGTTTACCTCTAAACCCTTCCGATGTGAGGACTCACAATTTTAGTTGTTTGAGGAAAGCATCTTGTCGCCGCCACAATCCTGTACAGTTGATATATTGACTCCGCCCTCGGACCGTAGCTTGCTACTTTTAGTCTTACCATGCACTTCAATCTAGCTGTTTGGTATAATAATACGATATTAAAGCCTTGACTGTCATGTCAAGATAGCAGCTGCAATTAAGGGAGTTGTGGTTTAATAACCAAATAATTTAACTGCTGAGTTGCTTCACTCATTCAAACTTCTCCAACCAAATATTACTCACATTGAAGTGAACGAGAACTCGGTGGGGATAATCAATTTATTATTTACTGCAAAATTACAGTGTTTTCGTAAAATATGAAAATCATACATTAAATACATTATTTGCACATCTTTCAGTTATCCTTTACATGCTTCATAATTCTGTTGTTATTACAGTCCATCTGTTTGCATTCCTGTTCCCTACAATTCAATCTTCTGTTGTCAGGCATTCCACTTCTGATTGGTGTTACATGCTATTTATATCTGTCGACAAAAGTAGCATACACTACAATATTACCGTCCCTTTTAAATTTATATAAAATTTGTGGCTAAAAACCCGAGTAAATGAACATTCTACTTTGTCAGTGAATCACATTGGATTTCAAAAAGTTCATGTATGCTTAAATCTTATAATTTTCTTTTTCTTTATTTAAAATTCTATATTTGTTTATTGTTATATTTCTTCGTTTGATTTTTTATTTTTTAGACACATTAAACGAAGAACAATTACGATTATCCGTACTAACTGCTGTGATTGATCAAGTTCGTCGTGTACAAAAAGAATTAATCTATCAACATCAAGATGATTTACAAGCAATACGTCAAACTCAAACTGGCCTATTTAGTGGTGGTCAAAAAATTCAAGAAATGATTAATAAAATGCAACAAGAAAAAGTAAATCAGTTAATAATTTTAAATAACGAAAGTAACTCAAGTAAACGAACAGATGTATTCAGCATTGGGAGTCTGGCATATATTTGCACCTATATTAGCATAGTGAAGTGAAATAAGACAAAATACTAGAATTGTAATAGAAGTAGTAGTAATATCAGTTGTAATACGAAAGATTAGGTATAGGCGATCTGGATAGATACTGCCGAGGAGTCACATACCAGGACGAAAGGACTGTTCAGTGATTCCTGGTTTTCAATTGTTTTCCAACTAACATTGATTGGTTCAGGATCTCATTGATAAACAATGTGATTCCATAATAATAACTCGTGAATCAAAAAGGGAACAGTAATTTTAAAACCCAAAATCTAAAGGAAGATGAAAAGTGAATCCATTCTCAATATTACGACCGATTCAAAGTCATGTCATTCAATATCTCTAACAATGAGTCATGAGAATTACTCGGACCTGCAACCAGATTGCCCGAGTCTATCAATACTTCTCAGTTTAGTTGTCAGTAACCTTATTTTGTTGAAGGAGTAAAAACAATTTAGCGAAAAGACGTTTCTTTTCAACGATATCTATTGAAGCCGTACAGTCGTGTTTATAGGGATATAACAGATAGATAAGTTGATAGAAGAATAAAAAGAAATTACATCAAAAAATGCTCTCCGATTTCAAATCTCAAAAAGGTTGCTTAACGATCTAGAAGTCAATGAATAATAATAAGATGAAGATAATTTACAGATCACTGTCTATTTGACATGTGCAAAGAAAAGAAAACATGAGAGATGATACAATAACAATGAAATAATAAGTTATAAAAAGATTATAAGAGCAGTTACTGCTGATAGCTAATTATTGAAAGAAGACAGACTAGAAGGGATGTTGGGGACTTATAAAACAATGATTAACTAGACATGTCGCAATACGATTTTACAGCTTCAGTAAATGGTCTCAGTGAATAGTTGTATGGATAACTCAATAGCGTTTGAAACGAATGTTAATGTTTTGTGGTCCCGGAGCGAACATCAACTCTAGGATGCGGGTACATTCAGCTGACGAGTCCCAATTAGGATGGAACGCGCGTCTTGAATTCCACTGCTAGCCACCATCCATCTTTGTTTATAATGCTTATGACTTAGTGGGAATATCGAAACAGTGCATCAGTCAGTCAGTCAATAACAACGTAGAACTTCGTACGTACGTACATCAGTTCGAGTTGCCACACCACCTTAACACAGAGATGCAGTGGTCGATTCAAATCCCATTGTGGTAGAGGTAGCAAGAGCGTAAGCAGTGATCGGGAAGATTAGGGTTTGGAGATGTTATTTAAAGAGTATAAGTCAGTGAAATAAATTTGGAAAGAGGAAAAAAGGGACATGAAGAATTCAGAAGATTAGAATTTGGGAGAACACAAAGAGTGGATGCACCTGCGCCATTGCAAACGATTTTGAGCCATGTCATTCAGGGTCTCTAACCATCGGTTGCTATCATCTCGCGGTCCCCAACCAGGTAGTCTACACCTATCAACATGACTCAGTCCACTTGTCAGTGACTTCTTGGACTTGTGCCATGTTTTGGTCTGGCCGCCCCTAGCTTTCTTCCAACCTACTCCTATACCACTGAACATCTCACGTCCAGGCAGTCGGTCGTTGGGAATACGTAACACGTGTCCCAGACATCTCAACTGATGAAGTTTCACCACTTCATCAATTGATTTGCCATCCTTACCTAGTACCCGTTTCCTAACAACTGCATTACTTACTCGATGGTCCCATGATATACGAGCAATGTTTCGAAGACACCTATGATCAAATACTAGTAGTCTACGAATATCCTCTACTCTTACCGGCCATGTTTCACTGCCATAAAGTAGGACGGGACGAACTGCTGCGCAGTAAACCCGTCTTTTGGTTGATAGACGGATATCTCGCCTACGCCATAAATGACGCAAGTTGGCAAAAGCTAGTCGAGCCTTCTGTATCCGTGCTGAGATTTCGTCACACACCAGACCACAAGGGCTGATGAGACTTCCAAGATAAGTGAAGCGATCGACACGCTCAATTACTTCACTCCCTATCATTAGTTCGGGTGTCGATGCAACCCAATCCTGAAGCAACATTTTGCATTTCGAGGGAGAGAATCGCATCCCGAACATGCTTGCATTGTTGCTTAGAGTGGTCAGAAGACTGCATTTTGTCAGCGTCTTCACCAAATAAAACTATATCATCGGCATATTCTAAGTCAACAAGTGAACCTCCCGGTAGAAGTTCAACCCCTGGAAATTTAGATTAGGAAAGTGTCATCTCTAAAAGTACGTCGACCACAAAGTTGAACAAGAATGGAGAGAGTGGACAGCCCTGACTAACACCACTTGAGGTAATCAATTCTGATGACAGTTCGCCATAAGCTCTCACTCTACCAGTTGTGTTCGAGTAGAGAGCCTGAATAAGGTTAATGTACTTCTTTGGTACTCCTTTCAGTGACAAACACTGCCATAGAACCTTACGATCAGAGTCGAATGCCGCCTTAAGGTCGAGAAATACTACCATTGTGGTGCGTCTAAACGTGTGTCTGTGTTCTAGAACCTGACGTAGTGTGAATATCTGGCCTATACAACCACGTCCAGGTCGAAAACCAGCCTGATTTTCTTTAGTCTGTTCTTCACGAGCTTTGGTTAGGCGTCGAAGTATTATTGAAGCTAATATTTTAGACACTATATTAGTCAAACTGATTCCTCTGTGATTGTCACAAGAGGACTTTTGTCCTTTCTTATAGACTGGCACAATCAGTGATTGAGACCAGTCAGATGGGATTACGTCCAGTTCCCAAATTCTACCTAAGACCTCAGTTAATCTCACTGCTAATACTGAACCACCATCCTTAAAAATCTCAGGAGTAAATCTGTCAGGGCCTGCTGCTCTCCCTCGTTTCAGATTTCCTATGGCTTTTCCAACTTCGTAAAGAGACGGAGGACCTACATTAACTTGCCATTCAGGTTGACTGGGGATCGTGGGAAACCGAAGTGTGGCTGAAGGCCAGTTGAACTGATCCCTGAAGTGTTCTGCCCATCGATCCAATCTCCTGGATTGGGAATGAATAATATATCCATCTTTCTCTGAGAGTGTTTCGCTAACAGTCGGTTTCCTAATACCGGTTTCCTTAACAAGTCTGAACAATTGTCTGCTATTACCTATTGCCGCTGCCTTCTCCATCTCTCTTGCTTTCGCTACCCACCACTGTTCTCGGTCGTTGCGTAGACTTCTTGTCAGCTTGCGCTTAAGCTGACTCCGGTCTCCACTATGTTCAGAGCCAGGTGGAATGAGTTTCCGAGCATCTATCAGTGCGATAGATGCTGCTGAGATCCAGTGTCGTTCCCTAAGCTTACGGGTTACCGTACTAGCAGATATCACTGCTGTTTCCACAGCTTTTCGGATATCATTCCATGCTGCATCGGGGTGAGCATCACATACATGGCTGTCTAAGTGTTTTCCTAGTTGTTCCTGAAATATACTCTTAGCTTGACTATCATTAAGTAGGGCCCTAAGAGGTTTACTTGCAGCGTTTTTCCTACGTCCAGTAAGACGCAGGCAAATACGCGCTCGCACTAGAGCATGATCTGAATCTAAGCATGTGCTCCAGAATGAGCGACAGTCTTCTATCGAGCCCCTCCATCGGTGGCTGATAGCGATGTGATCTATTTGGGTCCAACGTTGGGACGAATTAGGGGGTCGCCATGTTAAAAGATGTTTTTCCTTATGCTTAAAGTTAGTATGTGCACGGAACAGGCGATTATCTGAGCATAGCTGCAACAGACGGTCGCCATTAACTGTTCTTTGAGCCACGACACCATAAGATCCACTTAGGTGTCTTTCCCTATCACTTAGTTTACCTACTTGAGCATTAAATTCACCGGCCACTATTACTACATCATAGCGCCTAGCTTTTCGGAGAAGGTCGGAAAGCTTTCTGTAAAACTCATCTTTTACATCATCTGAGCTGTAGTCAGTGGGAGAATAGGCAGAAACGACGAAGAGGAAACGACGGGTGTCCCTATCTTTCCGGATTCTTACTGTTCCATTCAGTCGGACAGCGCACAAACGGCTGTCTACTGGGATCCACTCTAAGAGAGCTAATTCTGCCCTAGGGCTCAATGCTATACCTACGCCGGCGAGTCCACGGGAAGCAGAATCAGGGCTTCCAGATACACGAAGCGTAAATCGAGTCGGTTCTTTATTTTGGCATGGTGAAGTCAAATGAATGACGCTACTCGGATCTTGTATGCGCGTTTCGGAGACGCAGCACACATCGATGGCGCGAGATTCTAAAGTCCTAGCTAAGGAAGCCTGCTGTCCTATTTGGCACAGTGTTCGGACGTTAAAAGCTCCTACGTGTAGTTTAGAGCGTGGTTTCAGGAGACCAGGAATCGAGTTCCACGTAGTCGAATCGTTTGCCCTAGCGGTGCGATGTGATAAAGAGACATGAGGAGGGTTAGTTATGGAGATAAGAGAGGTATTAGGAGGTGTAGGAAGGATTTGAATGTGACCAACTTGGTCTGGTGTGCTGTTACGGGTATGAGGGCTCATGTCACTTCCCGGCTGCCCACACCGTGGAAGGGTATTTCTTGAGGAACCTGAAAAGGAAATTGGATTAGTGTTGGTCTTGACGACCTGGGAGCGTGACCGCAGAGCCCAAGGGACAACTGCTTGAGGCCGGTCGCGCACGGCCTTTTTGTGGAAGGATTTTGACGTGTTAGCTCCGTTCTTCAAAGGGCCTTACCGCCGGAGACGGAAATCCGTGAGGTAAGGTGAGGTGTGACATTTTTAGGGTCGACCTTTTCTAACCTCACCCCTCCTTGTGGGAAGGCAGCATCGCTGTCATGCTGGTTGTTTGAGGGAAACGCCTTACTGCTGTCACACCTCTCTACAGTCAGCAGTACGACTTCGCCCTCAGACCTTGAGTTGCTGCTTTTAGTCTTACCGTTCACCAATCGACCTGCCTGGCATGGTAGAACCTACTGGAACATATGTTCCAGCCAATATAGCTAGGTTGGGTCATCACGATAGGCAAGCCCGACCACCGCGTCAAGGTAGCAGCTTCGGTCGGGCCAATGATGGCAGAGCAGACGAAGAAGATCAGTTTGTGAGAGGCTGGTGTCCATCGCAAAGAGATGTCCAAGAAGAGATCTGATCACCCCAGCGGGGAATCTATACGTCAAGGTCGTGATGGATAACATCGGGGTATGAAGATATCATTGGGTAATGTGAACTAGGAAAAAGGAACGAGAATGATGAGAGAATGATAAATCTATGTGCTTTCAATAACCTGGTTATAGGTGGGACCGCTTCCCCCACAAACACATGCACGAAGCTAGATGAGTTCCACCGGACCACACTAAAGAAAATAGGTCAATCCCATCTGCACTAATAAAACGTCCAGAAGGTTCATGGTCCACGGAAGACGTAATAACAAATGGAAAGTTTGATATAGCTGGTGGTGACTAAGCTAAAACTAAAGCAAACTAACTGTTGTACAGTTAGACAAGCAGCATCACAAAAGTTAGTAAAAAAAATCTTTCCCTCGAAATGTTAACAAGATCAGTGAATTGAACGTGACTCCCAACAACCCTTACGAAGTCTTACAAAATATACTGGAACAGGAGAGCACAATGAGGACCAAATAGAAGGGGATAATGGAGGAATAAATACAACATGCCAGGTGCTGATACCCATGAAGCACCAGTGGAAACTATAGATCTTGGTAGACAGTCTGTACAAGATTCAAGAAAGAAACAAAGAAGGGAAACCAATCACTGAGGTTCAAATGTAGTAGGACAGGTAATTGGAACACATTAAAGAACTCTTGAATAAACCAGCTCCAATATACACACTGAACATCGAAGCAACACATACAAACCACCCTATAAGTGTTACCAAACTGATGATGGAAGAAATTAGCAGGTCATCAAACAAGACAGGAATGCTAAAGCAGCAGGTCCACACAGCGTACCAGTTGAGGCACTGAACTCAGATATGGAAGCAACTACAAAGATGTTCCATATTCTTTTTAGAAAAATTTACGAGGAAGAACAAATACCGACAAACTGGAAACAGAGATACCTCATCAAGACACAGAGGACACGAAATTTTAGTAAGAGAACAACAGAGGCATAGCACCACTGTTAGTGTCAGGTAAAGCTATTAATGTTTTTGCTAAACCAAATGAAAACTTCGAGAACGACTAGCTGGATAAATCATTTGCCAAACAAACCACAACAATCCAAATCATTGTTGAACAATCAATGGAATGAAACTCACCTCTATTCATCAACTTTCTCAACTGCTGGAAAACATTCGACAGCATGCATAGCGAAAACTGATTAATCTCCCCCGACAATGTGGAGTGCCTAAGAGGATCATCACCATCATACGGAACTCGTACAAAAAACTGAATTGCAAGGCAATTAATGGAGGAAAGCTCACAAATGCATCTCAAGTGAATTTTGGTATCAGACGAGGCTACCTACTCTCTCCCTTTTCTTAAAAGAAAATATATGCAAACCAAATGAACTATCACCTAACATCAAAGTCGAAATATTCAACACAAATGTTGGGACAATTCTATTGAAACTTAAAGAACTTTAGTAAACGAGAATTTAGGTGGGGCAAACCAATTTCTTATTACATGCAAAATTACACAGTACTCTCGTAAAATATGAAAATCATATATTAAATACACTATTTGCACATCTGCTTTGAGTTGTGCATAGGATATATATATATATATATATATAAAGAGACTGATCAATTGCAGTCTTAAAAATCAATGGGAAGATTTAAACAACCAATACATATGAAGTCATATTTTATTTAAATGAAGTTTCTATTCTTTTCATGAACTGATCAAAATCAAACACGTAAATCATTAGATGGCAGTTCAATGTACTCTAAAGTTTAAGCGCTCATCGCTTGTCCTGAAGGTCTCAGATTCAATCTTCTGTGGAGTAGGTCATGAGTGCACAGTCCTGAAAAGTCCTAGGCTAGGACGAAGTGGCTGTCCAGTACTTCTTGTTTTTAAATGGTTGTTTAACTATGATCAATGCATGCTGTCAGACATAAAATTCCCTTGATATCTACCGATAAAAACTTTATGCATTCGTTCTGAAATTCCTCAAACCATACACCGAAACTCATCAAATCATAATTCACAACATCTTTGTTGTTATATTTGTGCGAATCTCGATAATGAAATTAAGGAACACGGGTCTATGGTCATTTTACACAATACACATTTTTAACAAATCCAATCATATATTTTCATTCGTCTTATATTAAGCTGAAAGAAGGCTAGTTAGCTGGTGATAATTGTATGGAAATATAAGAAAAAGAGCAGCATGTGATAAGATGAATAGTCGTAAATTTCTACACCATCCTTATTGGTAGTTTCATTCTAAAATTAGAACAATTTCGATAAAATAGACAAAGAACTAAACAGTTGAGTCTTAATTCATTAGAGGGTAAGCGATCTACAAAATAGAAGTCTTTCAATCGACTATGGTTTTTAGCCACGTTTATTTTCCTAGTCATACTTTGTATATAAGTATGACAGTTCTATTCGATAAAAAAACGCTTACTCTATCTGTTAGTGGTCTTGTTTTTGCCATAAACTCATTTGGAGTTTCAAGTCAATCATCCAGTCTTGTGAGAGCAGCCATCATCTCGGATACGTATCATTACATATCATGTATTGATTAGTATTTTACCTATTCATTTTAACAATTAATTACCTCGTTCATTCATCAGAAATTCATAACCCGTAACAAATTTTATTTTGAACTTATAAAAGAAACTTGAGTTTTGAATGTCTAGGACTTCGTATAAACCTAAAAATACACTTCTAAAAGTTTGTATACGAAAATTATGGCTAACTGAGAAGTGCGTAAAATATGCAGTCTTTAAAGATCATATTAATAGTCTCAAAGAAGATATAATTCATAAACCTTGAATTTAACAACGATAATGGTTATACTACACTTAGAAACTGGTAACTTTAGCTTAAAAGATATTTCATGTAGTAAATCACTTTATAACCTTTTAAAACCACCGTCTTATATGCCTTCAGAATGAAGGATAAATTGTCACAACTGATCATTTCAGTGTGCATAAACAAGTGTCACATGTTCTTGTACAGCTTAGGTACATAGGTCATTAGTTCAGATCTGTTTGATGTATAACAGAATACAGCAATGACAACACAGCTTATTTGTGTTCTCTTATCTATAACATATATAGTTGGCATAGGACATTCAGTATGTAATTCTTTTTTTGACATCACATTTGCAAAGGATCCAGTTAAACTCTCAAAACTTATTATCCACTTTACTCATTTATATTTTTTACTATTTTTCCAATTGTACACATTATCAGGATCGAGTTTGTACAGAAATGGAATCAGTCAAGAGGAAGATGAAAGATTTAGAAGAGACTTCAGAGAAACTACGCAAATCTGACTCAAATTTCATAATTGATGAAGTATTCGATACAACTGCTCCATTATATCGTCAATTAGTTGTTTCATTCGCTGAAGAACAAGCTATAGAAGATGCAATTTATTATTTGGGCGAAGCAGTGGGTAAAAATGTGTTCGATGTGGAAGTTTATTTAAAAGTAAGTTGTCAACTGTTTTTTTTTAGAAATGGTATTCTTCAACTTGCTTTACCCGTTGTTGCGCAAGCAAGATGTTCGTCTCCCAACCAAAGGATGAGTTCATCGCTCAGCAATTCGCCCCGTCCTACTTTATGGGTGTGAAACATGGCCATTAAGAATAGAGAATATTCGTAGGTCACTAGTATTTGATCATAGACATCTTCAAAGCATTTCTCGTGTATTTTGGGGTCATGGAGTAAGCAACGCCTCGGTTAGGAACAGAATATTAAGTAAGGATGACAAATCCATTGATAGGGTAGCAATTATCTATCAACTGACGTGGTTGGGACATGTGTTACGTATACCCAACCGCCGCCTACTTTGACGGGCGATGTTGTCTGATGTAGGAGTAGGCTGAAAGAGAGAAAAACATGGCAGCAGTCCACGATTGGAATGATCCATGTTAACAGGTGTAAACCACCCGATTGGTATCCGCGTGATTATCGTAACGAATGGTTAGAGACTTTGAATGACAATTTCATCTCTCTGTGCTAACAGGTTATCAACTTGAACCGATGTACATATGCACTAGGTTTTATGTTGTGACTGTCTGACACAACACTCAATCACATATTCTGAGATAACAGATAAATAAATCACAATTTATATTCTCAATATGCTGATAAAATATAAGATTCAATTATCCATGATGGAACGTAATTTATTTTACCAAGTAGTTATTTTTGTACCCGTCTGTTAGTAGCCACAGGCATGGGGGCCAATGAAATACTGTCAAGCTCCTTAAACTGTAGTAGATATGTGAGTGACGTTTGAGCCGGCAAATTACTTTTTAATAGTTTAATCGTCAAGCCACCTCTTCACGCTTTGTTCAATGCTATATTTTTGGAGACAGTGGGAAACCTTCAGCACAACTTATAAGTTATTACAACAAACCTCTCTTACGTTACATTTTTATAACACTAATTCACAGCCTGTTAGTTCCAAACGTAAACGTTTTGAATCATTTTTTCTCCCACGTTCACACTATATATATCCTGTGCGGATTGCGTCAACACATCGATTATAACATAAGTTTTTGTAGAATACATGTATTTTAATACAACTGAGTGACTATCTGAATTCGATAGCCAAATGGATAGCACGTTGGTATTTGAGGCGAAATGTTACTGGGTTCGAGTCCTGGAGTGGATACCAACTCTCGAATGCGGACTTATCCTGAACGGGGCGAAACTCACTTCCTGCGTTCCACTGCTAGCCACACTCTATTCATACATATTCTCAATCTTTAGCCTTCCTCATTACCATCTCTCGCTACATTATTTCCATTTCTTTTACTGTTCACCTTGGTAACTTGATCTCTTCGTGCTAATGTGGTATGGCAATTCGAGCTAACCCACATTTGTGGAAAGCTCTTCATAAATTGTGACTGTCCACTTTTTACATCACTTTGGTCTATCAATCAAGCTTTCTTTCAAAACGGGTGACTAACTGTTCATTCTTTTCCTTCTTCCTCTCCTTCTTTTTGCTTTTTGCTAATTATTATTATTATTATTATTATTATTATTATTATTATTATTATTGGTTGTAGTAGCAAATAACCAATATCACTGGTGTTATACCATAATCCATAGTATTGATCAAACTTTACCGATCATTATAAGCGAAAATGGATAGTGGCTAGCAGTGGAATCCAGGACGCGCGTTTCTTCCTATTTGGGACTCGTCAGCTGGATGTACCCGCATCTCAGAGAGTTGATGTTCACTCTGGGACTCGAACCCAGTACCGTTCACTTCAAACATCCCAGAGTGAACATCAACTCTGAGATACAGGTGTATTCAGCAGACGAGTCCCAAATAGGACAAAACATACCTCCTGGATTCCTCTGCTAACCACTATCCATCATTGCTTATAATGCTTGTGAATTAAGGCAATACTCACAGAATGCATATATGCCAATAAGAGACTGATCACTTACAGTCCTAAACATCAATGGGAAGATTAAAGTAAACAATACCAAATGACTTGATCGATCATGTTTGTAGTTTATTTAGTCATTCATGTCATTATCATCTTCACATCAATTGTTGACCTCAATATCATTAGCTTACAATATCATTTTTATGCATACACGCCATAGTTAGTGTGCCAGAAAAAAATTTATTGTAATGCGCCAAATTAACATTTCTTTATATAATACTGTTCTATATTCAAACACCTTTCAAGTAAATTGAGTCGTACAAACGATTACTTTATATTTGCTGAGAATTATAAGGTAGATAAAATATCAACTTTTGCGACTGCTAACTGACATTACTTTCCTGATCAAAGTTAAGTTCAGTACATATAATGCAATACAAGTATTAATTAATAGTTTCACTTATTGTCATAAAAGCTAATATGCACTAACAAACTTTTCAACTATACTGTTTTACGATTAAGAACTCCTGGTAAGTCCTTCCCAATGAATCGTAGAGTAGATGTGATGTTAAATAATCTTGTTTCAGATTATAATATATGTATCAACTGCGATAAACTCATTATTTATTTAAATACATAAACATCGGTACAATGAGGCACCAAATATATATACACCACACTTCGTCATTCGATTTGTGTGAAGGCTGGGACACTATCTGCGCGCCCAAACTGAAGCAGGTGGTTTCCTTAAGGGGCCACACCCGGAGACTTCGACCTAGTGGTCTGGTCAACGTCACTAGACGCAGTCCGATGACCGACAGTCAGTTCATACAACATTTGTTCTCTAAGGATCCTGGAGCCCATGTGCACCATTGGTTTGGAACCAGGGTTTTCCAATCCCCTGGGTGGATCCTCCATAACCATCAACCCAATTAAAGTGACGGACATTTGCTTTCCATACTTTCAGTTTCATAAACAACACATGCGCTGAGAGAAGGTAGTGGGTAGAACTTCCTTGTCAGCGATTGTATACGCGGGGCCATGTTAGAGCATTTCGCGAGGGATGTCGGACTCTCCACCCTCGACTGTATCAGGTTATTTGGGGGCGGTGATTGCCAAGTAATTCTTGACATGAATACCATAGATTCATTTCGGGTTCACCTTAGATACGGATAACGTTTGGGCACTAGTGTGGTAATCACTACTCTTTCAGAGTACAGGTATATTTTTTAGTGTTCAAACAAGTGTATGAACGTGTAACCAATGCATCTGTAGTTCGCTTTCTGTTGGTTTTCCTCGTGTTATAGTGTGATCAACTCCAAACAACTATGACATTACTTCCATTTTAGTTTGATAGATATTCTTTGAGCCTGCATGCTTTTCAATGGTTGAATCAACTCAATGACCAATAACCATGTAATTGTTAAGGAAATTTAGATCTGATTCGCGCAAAATGAAATTCTTCTATACAGTCTAAAGGGCCAAGGGTTCAATTCTCGAATCCGGGGTCGTGGAGTACTTTACATTCTTGATTCATTTAAGTTCATAATTAACTGTCATCTAAGTAATTGAACTGCTTTTGTAATGCAGTATTTCTTTCGCTACATGTCAAAATGTTCATATATAATTTTAAACTTGACAGTCAGCATAACACTACAACTTAGAAAGAAAAAAGTAATGACGAGAAATGGAAGAAATCCCCTCCAATCGATATATATATTGTTTAGGTATCAGTAATTCTATTATATATAATACACATTGTTGAATCAAAATCTTTTTGTATAGTGGGGGGGGGCTATGGAGATCGACAAGTTTTATTCTCTTACATCATGAACTAATTTTTGTTTGAGAACTTTCACTGTTTCAGCCGATCATCGTATAAGTTCTGATTATCATTACTATTATTTTTATTGTTGTCAGTAGTTGCAGTAGTATACAAAGCACACGTAATCTCCATTACTTTAAAGCGTATATTTATATATCTGTAGGCAATATGATCCAAGCTTTTTTCAATCGTTGTAATCTTTACAAATATAATTTTAGTATCAGAAGGGGTTTTGTGAATGTTATGGTAATTTTAATAGTTGAGATCATGGGTCAATTGAAGCTAGACCACATTGGAAAACCTGGAAGCACTGGGCGGCCGTTTCGTTCTACTGTAGGACTCCTCAGCAGTAGAACGGAACGGCCGCCCAGTGCTTCCAGGTTTTCCAATGTGGTCTAGCTTCAATTGACCCATTATCTCAACTATTAAAATATAATTTTCTCAATGTTATGAATTGACTGGGCTCCCAACTATTATGAAACTATTTTGATTATAACACTTATTGTTTCACTGGGCTTTCTGTTTACTAAGAATTAAGCAACTGCACACGTCATTAGGTCATCATTTTGTATTTGAAATGTAAAGACTATTTTAATTTTACTACTGTATTGTCATTGTACACGCAATCCAATTCAACTTTTTGATTTTAAACTACTTTCGTATGCTGCTTATTTCTTCTATTTCAGAAAGTACGCGAATTGTCTCGTCGACAGTTTATGTTGCGAGCTACTGTTCAAAAATGTCGTGAGAAAGCAGGTCTACCACTTCTGTAATAATCACATTCATTTTTATATTGTTTACTGATTATATCAAATATTCCTGTTGTGATAAATCTGGCATATATATATATATATATATATATATATATATATATATATATATCGTTGCATCACCTATATTTTTTGCCACACAACAGAAATCTACTAACAATAATTAACCACATGGATAAGTGAATCCATACATAGATCTTTTCACATTCTTTTAAATAAAAATATTCAATCAAATCCTCCTTCGTAGCTTCGTTTCCTCCTACTTCCTGTTGTTGCTATTGTCGTTGTTTTCACTGTTATTGGTGTTTACTTCATTCTCTTTACACACATGCGCGTGCGCTCTTGTGCACATCCATGGGCGATTATATTCTACAATTTATTTTATTCAGACAAGTAACTTCTCACCAGAATATCTTTGTTATCCTTAACTATCATTCACACTATTTCTCCAATGTTCTTCTGTTTCTCCTTCTACTGCTCTACCTGTTGACTTTATTCACGTTTGTCCCGTTCTAATGAAAAATAATCCAGATTATTATTCAATAATTTCACTCTTGGAACCAAACCACTACATTAGCTGCAGTAAATTATACATATATGTAACTTTGGTTTGTTTTAAACTGGACGAAATTTGGATTGTACAAACGTACACATTCATTCATACACATTATTAGATATACTTGAAAAGAGCGTACATTTTTAACTTTCGGGTAATTAATTGATTACAGTTTTATTTGTTTTCTAGTGTTGTTTATTTGCGAAAAAAAGTAAATTCCACATCGTATTTTCTTTACTGGAATAACTTTATTAAGGGACTTGTTTTTTTTGTAGAAATTCCATGTACTTTGAGCTGATTAGTTAATCCATAAGGAATTCATTGTCTTTTTAGACAACATTATTAGGATATACTTTAAATTCAAAGTGGACTGTTAGAATTTCTTCATCATTGTTTGGTTAACCCGAGACTCCTAGTTGTTGTTTTAATTTCATTTTGCTTATTTCCACTACTGACTTTATCTCCAAAACTGAAGTTTATTATTATAGGTTAACGGAACAAATCGTTAGTGAATTGTGCAGGAATTCTAAACACTCACTTTTATGAGAATATGCTTATGTTCTTACCTAGAAAGACTACAGAAATTATTCAGAATAATCGTACATTTGTGTATAATATCACTTAGCGTAGTCATATTTTCTTGAATAGTTTGTGGCAATTGAATCCATAATACGTGTATCGTACTATTCAAGATCGGTCAGCTGCATCCCCATTGCAGATGTTTACATTGAAACTTGAACTCAGTATCTATCATATTGTAAGTGTCAATGAATAATTATTCACTTTTCTGTTAAGTTACGATAGTAATGAAACGCGTTTTTACGCGTCTACTCCAAAATGTTACTTAAAAAAGATATAACAAACCTGTCATTGTACGTAGTTTTGAGACATACTCTCAAGAAGTTCACTATGTCGGCATAAAATTATCAAATTTAGTTGCAAATGTCAAGCCTGCGAAATTACCGAATCTTTAAGGAAAATGATGAATCCTAAAGTAGATTTGATGTTTCTAATTATTATTTCACTGGATTGCTTAACAATTATTTAAATTTCTGTTCAGTAATTTCTTTTGAAAATAACTGTATTTATTCTCTTCCTCCATTTCACTCAGTGATTCACATTAAAATATCATCCACATTTGTTACTAGGGCGATTTTATTATTTGTAATGTGGAATTTTTAGGGGTTGTTTAACGAATGGATATCCCTTTCGTACTGAATATCATTTTGATGTTGTGCTCACGCTTGCTTATTATGATGACCTATTTGAGGTACATGTGTTGGAAAACTTGATTTTCCGGGTCACCACGCCAGGCAAGTAGATTGAAGAGCGACAGAACTAATTTACTTACTTTACTTACACCTGTTACTCCCAATGGAGCATAGGCCGCCGACCAGCATTCTCCAACCCACTCTGTCCTGGGCCTTCTTTTCTAATTCCATCCAATTCTTGTTCATCTTTTTCATGTCTATTTCCATTTCTCGGTGTAATGTGTTCTTTGGTCTTCCTTTTTCCTTTGGCCTTGAGGATTCCATGTGAGGGCTTGTCTTGTGACGCAGTTGGGTGCTTTCCTCAATGTGTGTCCTATCCACTTCCAGCACTTCTTTCTGATTTCTTCCTCCGCTGGGATCTTGTTTGTTCTCTCCCACAGTACGTTGTTGCTAATAGTGTCCCGCCAACGGATCTGAAGTATTTTGCGTAGACAACTGTTAATAAACACCTGTATCTTCTGGATGATGGCTTTCGTAGTTCTCCAGGTTTCCGCCCCATACAGTAGAACTGTCTTGACATTTGTATTGAAAATCCTGACCTTGGTGTTGGTTGACAGCTGCTTTGAGTTCCAGATGTTCCTCAGTTGTAAATATGCTGCTCTTGCTTTGCCGATCCGCGCCTTCACATCTGCATCAGATCCACCATGTTTATCAATGATGCTGCCCAAATATGTAAAGGTTTTTACATCTTCCAAATCTTCTCCGTCAATTGTGATTGGATTGGTGCATCCTGTGTTGTATCGGAGAATCTTGCTTTTCCCTTTGTGTATATTGAGACCCACTGCTGCTACACTGGTAGTTTTCTCCTGCATTTGTTGTTGCGTTTGGGATAGAAGGGCCAGATCATCTGCGAAGTCCAGATCGTCCAACTGCATCCTAGATGTCCATTGTATCCCGTGCTTCCCTTCAGATGTTGATGTCTTCATGATCCAGTCGGTCACCAAGAGAAAGAGAAAGGGTGAGAGTAAGCAACCTTGCCTAACACCGGTCTTCACTTCGAACGACTTTGTCAACTGTCCTCCATGCACGATTTTGCAGTGTAATCCATCATATGAACTCTGTGTGATATTGACTATCTTTTGAGGCACGCCGTAGTGTCGAAGAAGCTTCCATAGTGTTGTCCTGTCCACGCTATCAAATGCCTTTTCGTAGTCAATGAAGTTGATGTAGAGTGATGAATTCCATTCAATTGATTGTTCCGCAATGATCCGTAGAGTTGCGATTTGGTCTGTACACGATCTATCCTTACGGAATCCTGCCTGTTGGTCATGAAGTTGGGCGTCTACGCAGTCCTTCATCCTGTTTAACAATACTCTGTTGAAGACATTTCCCGGTATTGAGAGAAGAGTGATGCCTCTATAGTTATCACACTTGCTGAGATCGCCTTTCTTCGGTATTTTGATCAGGAATCCTTCTTTCCAGTCTTTTGGTACTCGTTCCTCATCCCAAATCTTATTGAAGAGAATGTGGAGTATCCTTGCAGTTGCCGCTACGTCTGCTTTTAGTGCCTCTGCTGGAATGTTGTCTGGTCCTGCTGCTTTGCCACTCTTGATTTGTCTGATGGCCATGCTGATTGGTTGGCCAACGTTGATTGGGATGTCCGTGGGTGCTGCTTCGATGTTGGGTGGGTTCAGTGGAGCTGGTCGATTCAAGAGTTCTTTAAAGTGTTCTACACACCTGTTTTATTGCTCTTCAATGTTGATGATTACCTCGCCTTCCTTGCTTTTCACTGGTCGTTCTGGTTTGCGACGATTTCCAGAGAGTTTCTTTGTTATGTCATACAGTTGTCTCATGTTCCCTTCTCTTGCAGCCTTTTCCGCCGTCGTTGCTAAATCTTCCACATATTTACGTTTGTCGATTCTGATACTCCTCTTCACTTGTTTGTTTACTTCTGTGTATTCAGCTTGTGCTTTGGCTTTTTCTGCTCTTGTTCGACTGGTATTGATTGCTGCCTTCCTGTTCCTTCTTTCTTAAATCTTATCCAGTGTATCAACAGTGATTCATTCCTTGTGATGATGCTTCTTGTGACCCAGGACCTCATGACATGTTGAAGTGATTACCTCTTTGATCCCCTTCCAGTTGCTCTCCACAGTAGTTCCTTCTCCATTGAGTAGATCATGAAAGGCCTGGAACTTGTTGCTGAGGACTATCTTGAATTTGTTGAGTTTGTTAGTATCCTGAAGAAAGGCCGTATTGAACTTTTGTGACATTGTCCGTCCCATTGTCCAGTACTTCTTGAGTTCCAACTTCATCTTGGCGACTAGCAAGTGATGATCTGAGGCCATATCAGCTCCTCTCTTGGTTCTCACATTTTCTATCGTCCTCCTGAACGTTTTGTTGATGCAGATATGGTCGATTTGGTTCTGTGTAGTGTGATTCGGTGAAGTCCATGTGGTTTTGTGAATGCGTTTATGTGGGAATATGGTGCCACCTATGACCAGTTTATTGAAGGCACATAGGTTTGCAAATCTCTCACCATTTTCGTTTCTTTCTCCCAATCCATGTCGTCCCATGATGTCTTCATATCCAGTGTTGTCCGTTCCAACCTTCGCGTTGAAATCTCCCATCAGAAAAGTCAGGTCCTTTGTTTGGCACTTTTCGACGATTGACTGCAGCCTATTGTAGAATTGATCTTTAGCGTCTTCATTGTAATCGTTGGTAGGCGCATAGCATTGGATAATATTCATTGTAATGTCCTCCTTTTTTGTTTTGAACGAGGCTTTGATGATCCTTGGTCCATGAGATTCCCATCCTATAAGCGCATTTTGCGCTTGTTTGGACAGCATCAATGCAACTCCTTGTGTATGTGGGGCATTTTCTTCTTCATGGCCGAAGTATAACAGAAGCTCTCCTGAAGTTAGTCGTTGTTGCCCAACTTGCGTCCAATGTGCTTCACTGATCCCAAGTACCTCTAGGTTGTATCTTCTCATTTCTGCAGCAATTTGGAAGACTCTCCCGGTGTCCCACATTGTACGAACATTCCATGTACCTAAATAAATGGTCGCTCTGGTTGTCAGAAGGGGCATCGACCTCGTAACTTCCGAAGGAATTCGGCGAGTTAGTTTTCTACGGGATGGAGACGCTAACCCCATGCCCAACCCTCCTTTTTTATCCGGGCTTGGGACCGGCAGTAGCCCCCGGAGGGACTCCAGGCGGAGTTACAGAACTAATTTGGTGACCCTATATTTGACTCCAGTTAGATCAGATGAATGCTTGTTATTGAAATATACATATCGTCAATCTTCCTATATTATTATCGACTCAACTTGCGTTAGTGAATAACGGAATTAAGTAAGTCAAACACGAGGATAAACTTTGAATGCGCATATTTCATGCAACCGCTAGTCTGAACAGACAATCGAACGGAAGGGTGTGAAGCGAAGCGACCCGTGGTGGAGAAGTCATGTTAACCAACTCGATTTAACCAAGAGTCAATCGATATTTATGGTCAGACATAAATTGATCACAGACGTGTGATGAGTAAGATAAGAAATGTACACACATACGTTTACATAAAAATAGTCAAGGTTGATAAGCGAATAAATAACAAAGTCGAAATGTGACTCAAGATGAATGAGAAAATTGGTCTGTGTGGAAGCTAGAATAAGTTATGTCGGCTTGACATAACAGCCGACACCACACTAAAAACAAAAAAGTCATCGTTTTGAGAGGTAAGTTATACTCCTGACTATACAGAGTTGCAGTAATGTTTTTCCTTTAGCTGACCAATCAATATCTAGTTCGAAACTGCCTTCTCATAACAGGAAGAGTGGATTAGGAAAGTTCATGGACATCACACGTTGAATTCACTTGGTGTTGTTTTACATGTGTCTTACCATTGTTATTTAGGACTCCAAATGATCAGTCTCATGTCGGCATATGTGCATCCTATGCGGATCGCCTTGTTATAGCCTCAAGTCACAACATTACACTTTGCCCTGTAGATCCCTTTTTTCA